TTAGGCAAGTGAGTATTTTGTCCAAATCACTTTTATGCATATCGTCCAACTCCAAGCTGTATAAACGTGAATGCTTACTGGATTTAAGCATCAGGTGATGTGTATTTGAGTAATGAGGGAGTGTGTGGCCTAAGGAGATCAACACCATATATCAAGGTGTACATAATTATTAGGCAGCTTCTTTTCCTCAGGAAAATGGGCCAAAAAAGATTTAACTAACTCTGAAAAGTTAAAAATTGTAAGAAGTCTTTCAGAAGGATGCAGCACTCTTTAAATTGCTAAGATATAGGGGCGTGATCACAGAACCATCAAACATTTTGTTGCAAATAGACAGGGTCGCAAGAAACTTATTGAGAAAAAAAAAAAACGCAAATTACCAGCCAAAGATTTGAGAAGAATTAATCGTGAAGCTACCAAGAACCCATTATCCTCCAATACTGTCATGTTCAAGAACTACAACCTACATGGAGTGCCTAGAAGTACAAGGTGTTCCGTGCTCAGAGACATGGCCAAGGTAAAGGAGGCTGAAACCCGACCACCACTGAACAAGACACATAAGTTGAAACATCCAGACTGGGCCAAGAAATGACAGAAAATAGGCTTCAAAGGTTTTATGAGTGGATGAGATTGAGTGACTCTTGATGGAGCAGATGCATGGGCCCGTGGTTGGATCAGTAATGGACGCAGAGATCGGCTTCGTCTTAGATGCCAGCAAGGTGGAGGTGGGGTACTGGTATGGGCTGGTATAATTAAAGACGAGCTAGCTGGACCTTTTCGGGTTCAAGATGGACTCAAAATCAACTATCAAACCTACTGCTAGTTTTTTAGAAGTCCCTTTCTTCAAGCAGTGGTACAGGAATAAGTCTGCATCTTTCAAAAAGACCATGATATTTATGCAGGACAATGCTCCATCACATGCATCAAAGTACTCCACTGTGCCACTAGCCAGCAAAGGCCATAAAGATGAAAACATAATGACAAGCCCCCCCCCTTCCTCACCTGACCTAAACCCTATTGACAACTTGTGGGCCCTTCTTAAAAATGGGAGATTTACGGTGAAGGAAAAAACAGTACACCTCTTTGAACAGTGTCTGGGAGGCTGTGGTTGCTGCTGCACAAAAAGTTGATTATCAACAGATCAAGAAACTGACAGACTCAATGAATGGAAGGCTTATGACTGTTATTGAAAAAAGAAGGGTGGCTAGATTGCTCACTGATTTTTTTTTAAATTGCAGAAATATTTATTTAGAAATTTAGAGTTATTATTCTCACTTTAACAGATGAAAATACATGAGATGGGAAAATCTTCATTTCTCATTTAGTTGCATAATAATTCTGAACACTAACAGTTGCCCAATAATTGTGCACACATAGATATTCTCCTAAGAAAGCTAAAGCTTTTAATTTTCCTGAATATTCAGGTTTGAGGTTTATTAACATTTTGGATTGACCGAGAGCACTGTAGTTGTTCAATAATTAAATTGATCTTCAAAAAATGCAACTTGCCTAATAATTGTGCACAGAGTATAGAATATAGATCAGATGAGCTTCATCCGATGACCATGTCCTTTGTACTGAGCGGTATCTAGAACTCTTTCAGACCTTTGGGAGGTAATCCAGCAACAATTGTGATCCATTATGGTAAGGAGAGCCTTGTGTTGCTAGTCAGGTGTATGACAAATGATTGTGTCCTGATGCCCATGCTGCGGGAATTTTGAATTACAATGGCCTGCAGTGAAATTGGGCCTATGGAAAAGCCTTCTAAGGAGGCCACCATTTAGCCCAAAATACAGGGGCAGAGGCCAAAATTCTTGACTGCAACATTCTGGACTCAAATGTCTAAAGTATCTTAGAAACAGGTGGCTGCGAAGGCCAAGAAATTAACAACCCCCGAAGCACACACCGACAAGTGGGGTGCTCCCTCTTTGTGAGGAAGACTTGCTATGGATTTGGAGGACTGGGGGGTCCAGGACTTATGGTGGAACTGAGTTCCAAGCTTTTCCTTGAAGGCCTGAGATAAATGAAAGGAACTCTTCCAAGCCTGAAGCAGAGGGCTTTCCAGGTAGAGATTTTGACTTTTTCTGGGTCAAAATCTTCCCTCGGTGACCTCCTTGGTAAAGTTACCCAGGGACCTACCCAAAAGGCTTTCCCTGTCAGAGAGCATTCGTAAGAGGCATTCCTTGCATGGATGCTCCACAGACCAACATTTCAGCCAAAGGGTCCTATGCAAGTGTACTGAAAGAAGGACATTTGCCATATTATTAACCTATTAACACACTACAGCTGGGCTATTAGGCATGAGAACAAGTTGCTGCCAGCTAGAATAATATGTTAAGATTAAACCAGGATCCTAGTGCATAACATTGATCATACAGCTAAGGTGTGGCACATGGTCATGGTCACAATGGCAGGTTGCAGGACAGCATCTGCATGAGAGAATAGGGCCTTAGAAAGGGCTTCTAGCTTTCTACACCAAGTCTTTAAACAAGAGGATGTCTTCAACAGGAACAATTAGGAGTTGTGTTATGACAGGAAATGGTCAGGTCCACAACAGGGACAGTCCATTTCTTTAAGAACCTCTCCTCCACCGGGCATTGCTGGCGAACACATTTAAGAGGAACAAGGACTTTATTCTGGCCAATCACTATACAAGACCTGTTACAATAGGGAATGCACTAAATAGGCTGGGGGCTTTTATAGGACCCCAGTTAGTAGCTTGAGGTGTAGCTGACACAGATAGTTCATATCTAGACATATGCCGACTGCATCAATAAGGACTGAAATGGTATCCACCAATTTCAGAAATTATAGCTGCAGAAAGTAAACTTAAAAGACATGCTCAGGAGGAAGGGGCATGGAAGTACACTTGCGGCAACCTTAGAAGGAACTCATGCAGTTTGCACAGCCCACAGAAAAGGTGGACACCCTACTCACTGCAGATAAGGTCCAAATTAGATCCTGCGGCAGAGGCACATCAGGATACAGATCGGATCAGTCTTCACTCCTCCAGCAGACACACCTACTAAGGAGTCTTCAGGGACAGGGTTCTACCAGATGGGTGCACCACAGCCCTGGACTTGTAAAGTACTCTGCAGCTGACTCAAACACACTGCAAATTCAGCAGAGTGCAGTTTCAAAAGACATTAAAGACTGGTCCTGCTACTTCTTAGCAGGGTCTGGCAATTCTGAAATTCCATTGAAAATTCAACCCCTTCTGGCTCGGCAACCACTGAAGAAACTTGCTAGATGAAAAAAGGAAGTATTAATACAAATTTGAGAAGATGTCCGTTATGCTTGGGAACTAACAATTGTATGAACCATCTTTATTGCCATTGAGGCAGGCAAGTAGCGGGAAGAGTTATACTGGGTTGTCTTTACATGTTTGTTTGCCAGCGTTCAGTCTCCTGAAGGCAGCAGTAAACCAGTGTACCTGAATACTTCATTCTGTATCACTTAATGTACTAAGAAATACCTATGGATTGTGTCAGAAAGTCAGAGCTCTTTGGTGCCTTCAGACAAGGTTATCTCAAGAAGTTTTTTTCAGTTCCTATCATGGACTACAGAACAGTTACTTTCTATAGGGTGGAGGTGAGGTATTCAGTTTAAAGTGATACTATGGGTTCAGATTTTTTTTTTTTTTTTTTTTTTAAATAACAAACATGTCATACTTGCTTGCTTTGTGCAATGGTTTTGCACAGAGCAGCCCCGGACCTCCTCGGTCGCCACCACCAGTGATCCTGGCTTCATGACCCTGCTGAATGCCCCCAGAGCAAGGGGCTTGCTGTGGGGCATTCATGCATGCTCGCTCCCAAGTTGCCTTTGTGCATCTTCTGCTGCTGTGTCTCAGCCAATGAGGAGGGAGAGACCTGGGAGAGCCGCTGCTCTCAAGCACATCACTTGATCAAGATCGGGCCCAGGTAAGTATTAGGGGGGCTGCAGGAGGAGCTGCACACTGAAGGTTTTTACCTTCATGCATCGAAAGAAGGTAAAAACCTTCTGTGCCCCCCCCCCCCCCCCCCCCCAAGACACCACAGAGTTTCAACATGTATGGAATCCTTGCTCTGCTTAAAGTGGAACTTTACAAATAACATTTGATTTAAGAAAATACTTTAGCAAGAAACAAACATTCCACATTAATAACTATGCTACCAAAATTAGTGTGTGCTGCAAATTGTCTCCAGCTTTGCTCCTGTTTCTTCTTGCTGGGGGCTGCCATTTTGCTGAAGCCCAAAGTCCCTGAATAGCAGTAAATTTTTAGGCTGTCAACAGATCAGCCTCTAAAAATTGGGCACAGTGTCTAAAAATAGAGAGCAACTGAGCATCTGCACAGTAGAGTAAGGCAGTTTATTACTGGATTTTAAATAGTATGGGCACTTAATTTCAATGTTTGCAATAGCTATACCTGCAAAAGGGGCCAGCCTGAAGTAATCTAGCAGGACTTAATTTTTTGAGTAAAGTTCCACTTTAATGTTGGTTTGGTTGGCCAATGCTGATAACAAAACAAAATTGAATACGACTCATAGCAGTGGCATGTTGTGTGGCCAACCATTATGTTGCGAAAGCAGGGATCTATTACTCATGAATTGTGACAGCCCTTTTTTAAAATTAAATCTTCCACAAACAGAATATATGCCACAGAATGCAGATCAAGCATCAGAATGGCTGCTTTCATCAGGTGCTTTTAAAATACACTTAAATTTTTAAAAACCTGAGCCTGGAGTATGTGGCTCAGACCTATAAAAGGTAGAAAAAACAAAATGAAGACAGCTGCCAAAGTGGAATATGAGAAAATCTATTAGACTGTGTTGTTGCTAGGAAGCTTTATGTAGCACATGTACTCCAGTAGTCCTAGGAAAATACAAATATAGTAGAAAAGTAAGAAATCTCTCACCACAACAAATTACCACCAACAAAGTTATACACAAAATATATATGTATATTTTTATGTATATACATATGCTTGTGTATCTGTGTTCTTAACAGTGTTAATTTCTCCCTTTTTAGTCAACAGAATCAATGTCGGAAGGCGGCCCTTTTGAGACAGTCTTTTGCAATGCAATGTGTCTGTCTGGCAGCGGAGGTTCAGGTAAAGGCTGGATTCCACACTCTTTACTTGTGACCACTTTTTTCTCTTCTGAAGATTGAACTGAATGAGTCTCTAATGACTCTCCATCAGCTGTGCCACCACCATCTCCATCTGACACTTGATCCTGAAGGCCCTCAATCTTCTTATTGAGCTCATTGCGTTCTGTCTGGAGGGCTCTGCAGAGTTTTTCCAGAGACGCTCCAGTTTCACTTGCAATGCTTTGTGCTCCTTATCCCTAACGGTTTTCTAGAAAAGAAGTAGGAATTGTTAATACACCACAAAATGCATAAAGTCAGCAGTGCTCATCTCAAATCTTGCGTTTGGACTAAGGCCTCACAAATTAATCAGTGTACTCTTACACTGATGTACATAGTAGTACTAGGAGTACCTACTACTATGGGAAACACACAGGACCATCCAGTAACCATGTTTTGTAGGCTTCTTTTGGCTCACAATGTCAACACATTCCTTGGCAAGGCAGTCCACAGAGCACAGCAACCTAATCAAAGCTAACATTTAGCTAAAAAAAAATCCCTACAGCTTTAGTAACATCACTTGCCTGCAGTTAAGTATGTCCCCCGCAGTGCAGGCAGCTGAATCCTGGAGAAATCTTTATTTACGCAAGGAAACACTTTCGACAAAAGAAAATGCATTTATCGTTCATTATCGTGAATTGTTAGAGAGGGTCAATTTGGTTTTTATTTGCAGGCTAGCTGGTAAGAGTGCTGGGAAATGTATTTTTGTGGTGTGCGTTGCCCTGTCATGTGCTCCTTACTGCAAAGGCTAGTTATAAATTGGGGTGGTTGCCATATCTTTGTGTAGCTTGTTCACTGATTTGGTGTGGGGACACATTTGATTTCTTCAGCTGCCATTGTGCTCTTGCTGGGCATCCAAATTTTTTCTGTGCCTTTTAAAGAGTGGGCTCCCTTCAGGCAAACCTGCCCTAATTTATGCACTGCTTTATGTGCTCCAACTTGGAGACTCATAAAACCATAGTTAGGACTGCAGTATACAGATGATCCTTGGACATGGGCACTGTGGCTTATATTTGAAAATGTGTGCAAAGAATCCGTCTGTTTTAATGTGAATTGTTAGACAGTGTCAATTTGGTTTGTTTGCAGGCAAGATGGTAAGAGTGCTGGGAAATTTGAGTTTGTGACGATGATCGTTCATTAGCGACACAGGATGTAATTCTGATACAATTGGTTTATGCAGCCACCTGCAAAAAGATTTGGAAAATGGCGGAACCCCCCCCCCCCCCCCACATTGGCCAGTTAAAAATGACCCCTTCAACTCCCAGCATGTTTCTGTTTTTTGCTAGAGTCCTAGGCAAATGGAGGTCTTGTCCTTTTTTAGTAGTCATTTTATTAACCTCTCCCCACCCCAGTGTTTCTTTGGAGATGCCTTCAAGGCTGCACACCCATGGACTGAAGATTGTTTTGCCTGGATAGAATGTAAATTTCAGACACTGGGCTTTGCATGTGGTGCTTCCCAGACTTTCAGGTACTGTGTTAGTCACAGAGTGCTCAGTCCAGAATCATAACAGTCTGGTGTGACTCAGTTTCTAAAGACTCTTAATGAGTAAGCCATATGGGCTGAGCACTGGGAACTACAACATTAATTGGCAATTGAACACGACCATTACTCCCCTATCCTGCTGGTTTAAGCAGAAGATGTTAACATAAATATAAAACATGCAGCGCTAGAGTAGAATGGTCTGTCTCACGATGAAGTGTGACCAACTGGATAGATATAAACGCAGCTAGCATAAAAGTAATGGTCTTAGGCAACCAATACAATAACATTCTCCTGGTTACAAAGGTGTAAATGGTGACATAGGTGTCAAAGTCAATATATCATTGGAGTGACAAAAATAAATCTGTGACATCTGTGGTAAGAAATGTGGCTGTAGAATGCACTAACCAGATAGCGCAAACAGTAGCGCATTGGAGTAAAATGACCTACTCCTGGTCAATGGATCAGGAAACCTGCCGGAGTGTTGGTCGTCTCTGCTGTGGTCACCAGAAACCTCTGCGTCCTCTCCTGTTGTGGCGTTACCAGGTATCCAGTGGAATAAACGCTCCTCCAGTGTGTAGTAGAATCCTTTAGTGTCAGCGACCTCCAGGGGTGCGGTATGCGCTCAAGGAACAGGAATCGCCTTCAGGGCTCAGAAATAAACCCAAAAGAGAGGCTTCCGATAGTGTAATAACTTTTATTAAGGAGTAATAAACAAATGGAGCACTTACAATAAACAAATCCAAAGATGGCCACCCGTATCAAGGTGTGGACCATATGGGTAGTAGTGGTAGGTGAAGTAGCATCTCCCTAACGCGTTTCGTGGCAAGTGCACGTTATCAAAGGGACGACCAACACTCCGGCAGGTTTCCTGATCCATTGACCAGGAGTAGGTTATTTTACTCCAATGCGCTACTGTCTGCGCTATCTGGTTAGTGCATTCTACAGCCACACTTCTTACCACAGATGTCACAGATTTATTTTTGTCACTCCAATGATATATTGACTTTGACACCTATGTCACCATTTACACCTTTGTAACCAGGAGAATGTTATTGTATTGGTTGCCTAAGACCATTACTTTTATGCTAGCTGCGTTTATATCTATCCAGTTGGTCACACTTCATCGTGAGACAGACCATTCTACTCTAGCGCTGCATGTTTTATATTTATGACTTATCCCACAAGGCGTTTTGGAGGCTTGCCTTTCATGCTAGCTGCTTGCATACTTTTGTTATAAACTATCCAGCGCTCGTTACACCCCTTTTTTATATCTATTTTAAAGAAGATGTTAACATACTTTCTACTCTTTTATCACCCGTTTTTAGATTTTTCCCACCATAGCTCCTGCAACAAGTAGGGTTTCACACCTCTTTGCTGATGCTTATAGTGACCTAGCCATCTCTGGCTATTGAACTTTTCCTTCTTAAGCAGTTGGATGTAAATAACCATAGTTTTTTACAAGCGTTTTCTATGAAGTTAATCCTGCTCAGCAGTACAACAGATCAGATCCCAAGCACAAAAGGGGCAGTCCCACTGCATAAAGTTGCTTCAGAAATTGCAACTAAGATTGTGAACATGAAATGCAGAGGCCATAAGAGTTCTTCAGCTCCATGATCTTTATCTGGTACTATGCCTGAGAGATTCTCACAAACCCTCTGTTGATTTGTTCCTAAACCGCTTTAATCAGCTGATCTAGATCCCAGGTTTGAGGTTACCATATTGGTTCTTGTTGATGCTGTGGAAACCACATTTATTGGCTAAAGTTCATGTTCCACCCTATTTAGGGTGGTACATGTTAGATGTTCAACCCGTATTTAGGCTGGAGCATATATCATGTTCCAGCTCCTGCTGCCAGTTCCCCTGATCGCCAGCAGCGACTAATCGCTGGTGAATTGTCCTTACACCAGGAAGTGTTCTAGGAACTGTGTCACAGATGGGGAACACAGATGTGAACCTTCTGGCTTCCTGATTCAGTAACAAACTGGACAAGTTTGCACCCCAGGTGCAGAAACAGTGGATGCTCTGGTGGCTCTACGGGATCAGTACAGCTTTTGATCCATGAAGCTGCATCCTCATTTACAGCGAAGGATGGAGATAGTGGGCATTCTGGGGATTCCCACAACACCTCCTGAACACATCAAGGACCCTTCAAGATCATCCAGATCTCCTATACCAAGTACTGGTTTCTTCTGCCCTGCTTTATGGTAACTGGTTTTATTGGTAAGACTGTTGAAACCCAGGTTTACTTCACCTGGTGCCAATCATCCCAGTAAATACAAGAGGTTGATCTGTGACCTTTCTGAAATCAAACCTGGATAAGCATTTGATCCCCGAGTACCAACAACACACACATTTCATCTCTTGCAATCTCATTCAAGTCTCCCACTTGTTGGTTAAGACTTTTGTACAGGGAGTCTACCATGTAGCTCCACCCATACAAACCCCTCTTGAGAGATTTGAATTTGGTTCTATTAGCTTTACAAAAAAAAACACCTTATTAATTTATCAGGTATTTTCCCCTATCCATTTGTTCTCTCACTATGTTGCATTTCTTGCTGCCATCACCCCTGTAAGGAGTGTACCTTAGGTGGGGGACTTGTCTTGTAAAGAACCCTGTCTGGTCTTACACAAGGTCAAAGTAGTGCTAATGCCTAGAGCAGCAATGGGCAAACTACGGCCTGCGCGGGCCGTATACGGCCCGGCGGACCTTTTAATCCGGCCCGCGGAGCGTGGCAAACATTGGCTGTCAGGATGTAGGCGGGGCAGCGTGACGAACTCCTCTCACAGTCTGCCCTGAAGACCGGAACGGCGCGGGAACACGGCGAGAGGAACGCGCGGAGCAAAGGTAAGTGAATTGACACAATATGGGGAATGAATTACTATAGGGGGGATGAATTACTATATATGGAGGATGAATAACTATATGGGGGATGAATTACTATGGGGGAATATTACTATACTTACTATGGATGGCATGGTAGTGGCTGGGCCGGTCAGCAGCTAGTCCGGCCCCCGAGTCCAATATATGAACCCATTGCGGCCCTCAAGTCAAAAAGTTTTCCCACCCCTGGCCTAGAGCCTTCTTCCTTTCCGAAAGAGGTTTCAGTCTTTCACCTTAACCAGGACATTGTTTTTTAAGCCCTGCTGCAGTACATCTAAAGGAAATATCCCTATCACTGCCTGGTGTAGTTCACACTCTAGGTTTACTTCTCAGGACATCACGCGACTTCCTCAGGGCTCAGGGTTTTTGACCCTGTGTGGGGCAAGGCAAGGAGGTGAGAGCGCATTTCTGTCACTTGTGGATACCCCCCATCTCACACAGTTGTATCACCTATCTTCACGAGTGATTTTGTCTATTGAATGTATAGTGGTTTACACCAATTTGGACATTTATATGTTTACACGTTTTTACATTACTTAATGACATGCGTTGTGTGTGATTACTGTTTTTCACGGCATGCGATTTAATTTATGCACTTTAAGCAAGTGGATATTGATTTGATATTTCCTTGCCTAATTTAGGGGATCATATTTTTTTTGCATGGTATTCATGCGTTTTGCATTAACAGGTTTTACACTTTGTGTGTTTGTCACTATTTGTGAGTTTGGAGCACATTAGCAATTATAGTCCCATTTGGACTAGTTGGTTGGTTCACTTACACCTTTAGATCCTTTTTAGGATCAATTGGCCACAATTAGTCCTTTTATTGGACATCTCTGATCTTCATCACTATTTATGTGCGCACACACGCACATTTGTGTGGAATTATTTATCACCTTTTTACTTGTGTTATAAATCACTTTGTAGCACTTGGGATATTTATTCATTTATATATTATTGTTTATATTATATTTTTATGCGGTATCTTCCACTTATAGGTAGTATTAGTTGTAGCAGCGCCACATCATTTATTCTCTGCATCTTCATTTAATCATCAGGTATATGATTGGATGTTGGCAGCTATTATAGTTGTGTAGGGATTAGGGTAGGCGCACAAGAGGTCTTTTCACATTTTTTACACCTGGTTCTCTGCTAATACTGGACAACACATTTACCAGATGTACAGTATGCTCAAGCCTCAACAAAAATGGCAACTATCCTAGTCAATATAGAACTAGCTTTTTAAAGTAAGGTGCACATGGAAGGGCTTTTCACAGAACAAACAAAACAGTTCCCAACATGCTTACAAGGAGGCAAGAAAAAAATAAAATAACTTATATTGTGAACTGTAGATGTAACATTTTAGCTAAAACATTTGCAAACATATGTGAAAGCCACAATGCCTTGTCTAGGCCCCTTGGTGTATGTGGTCCCTAACTATATGCTGATATTGGGACACAAATAGCAATGGATAAACTGAAGGTAGGTATGCCTGGAGGTAGCCATTCAACCGTGAAGTTGGCATCTGACACCAGCTTCAGATGCAAGATCCTTCAGGGAGGTCTTTAGGCTGCAAGCAGCCACCAGTTTTGTAATCAGAGCCTGCTAGCATTTTTGTTGGCAGTGCTGTCCATCCTTCAGTTGGGCTGCTCTTGGACATCTTAATAGTATCATAATAACTGAGTCTTGACCCTCCTTATTAATAAAATCTGTTTCCTGGAGATTATTAGAGTGTCACTAAACCCACAACAGTAAAAGAAGTGTGTATATGCAGTAAAGCATGCTTGTTATACTCTGTGGAACCTAAGGGATTAATCCTCTGCATTGTGTAAAAAGGATGCTTGCTTCTGTCTTCTCTGATCCTCCCCCTTTTCTACTGTTCCCAATCCATCTGCTGATAGAACAGAGCCTTGGGGGCAAGCTGAACATGCTTAGTTTGAAGTGTATTGCTAGAGAGGTTTTTTTCTTGGTAGAGTGGATGTGATCAGCACAGGGCCAATCAGTGCTGATCCAACAGAGGGTCAGGGGTCCTTAAGCCTCACTGGACAATCAGGGAAGAATGAAAACTCCTACATGCTTTAACCAGTGCTCAGCTGGACCCTCACAGAAGTCCCAAGGCTGCTCTAACTGCTGATGAGAAAAGGTATTTACCAGTTTACATTTACTAATAAAACGGATTCCCCACTCTTCTGCAGAAGAACTTTTGCTGTGTATACCCCCCCAATAGACAGATAGTGCTATCCACAAGTAAGTAGATAAAATGCACGTCTGAAGTAGAATAAAAAGGTTACTAAAATGGATAATAAATTAGCTCAATATACAGTGCATTCATAAAGTATTCAGACTTTCTTCACTTTTTTCAATTTTGTTATGTCACACCCTGATAGTACAGTTGTTTAAATTAATTTGTTTTCCTCAATCTACACTCAGTACCCTATAATGACAGATGGATTCTTGGACAACTCTCTTACTAAGGCCCTTCTACAATTGCTCAGGTTGGCCGGGCAACCAGGTCTTGAAGAGTCCTGTTTGAGCCAAAGTTGGGAATTATGCAGGCCACTGTGTTCCTGGGAACGTTCAGTGCAGCAGAAATTTTTTGTAGCCTTTCCCAGATCTGTGCCTTGCAATAATCCTGTCTCTGAGCTCTGCAGGCAGTTTCTTTGATCTCATGGATTTTGCTCTGATACAGTATGCATTTTTACCTGTCAGGCCATTTGTAGAGAGGTATGTGCCTTTCTAAATCAAGCCCAATCAATTTAATTTACCACAGGTGGACTTCAATGTGTAGAAACATCTCAGCAACAATCAGGAAAATGGGAGGCACCTGAGCTAAAATTCAAGTGTTATTGCAAATGTTTTCAATACTGATTTCACGGTGTCATTATGTGGTACTGAGTGTAGATTAATGTGGAAAAAATTAATTTAAACAACTATAGTATCGGTCTACAAGATAAAATTTGTAAAAAAGTGAAGGGGGTCTGAATACTTTATGAATGCACTGTATATGCCTACCTATTCTAGGCATGCAAAAAAAATAAAAAATAATCACTGAAAACAGCTACAAACCACTAAATTCACAATTTTTTTGTTTCATTTTTTCTGGCTTAATAAATTACCCCCCATTATGTAACAATCGCTAGATATGCCAGTATTCGGTATATCTCTATATAAAATTGCATGTCATGTCATGGGAAAGGCTGATAAAAGAAGGACTACATAGAATATGAAAAAAGGATTCCTCCTTTGTAATAATCAGCTGGTAAATAAGAGACATTTGGTCCATATTTCTCATCACGAAAAGGAGAAAGCATAGAATTTTTAAATGAGACAATCAGCAGCTGTGTGTGTTTTTCTGTGCATTTTCTTCCCATTTGATTTTCATGTAGGTTGACAAGTCTGGACAAAGAGCATACACACATGGTTTCTGGGGTGAATGTGACCGATGCTTTATCACTAGAATCAAAACTAAGCAATCCTTCCATGGCCACAGAATTTACCTCCAAAAGGGACACTCGTTAATTTTTTTATCTGAAGAGCTTATAATTCATAGGAACAAATGATAAGAGAAACAAGACTACAATCAGAGAAATAACATGTATAGGATGCTTTAAACAAAAAGAGGACAACAGAAAAAGGACATCTACAGTCATACTCACCTCTTCAGCCATCTGTAATAGGGCTTTATTGTTATTTTCCCACTTGGTACGCCAAATAATGGTTTCTTTTTCTAATTTCTTTATTTTCTTGGTCATCTAAACAATAAAACATGAAATGGTAGGATTAAAGTTATTTCATTTTCCTTGGGGCAAAAGTTATTTTTATAGTTGCCTCAATACTGTGATTAGATTTTCTTTCAACTGTACAAAATAGTCTGGATTCCCAAACTTTTACCTGTTTGACCACCTGCCAACCACTCACAGTAAATATACTGCAACTGGGCGGCAGGTGCAGGTGAGTTTGGGGCACGCATGCATACATGCCCTGCTGTTTTTGGACACGCAACAAGTTTGGCAGCAGATTTCAGCCAATGATTTCAGGCTGAAACCTGCTGATCGACTGTGTCCAATCACAGCAGAGTTCTGTGATTACAAACATACAGAACTCTGTGTACAGACAACAGCAATCTGGCTATTTCTTCTCCCTGAAAAGCAGGGAATAAAAAGGAAGATCAGTAAGTAAAAGCAGCACACATTACACTTATAGGCATAGGCACACAGTTAACCCTTTCCCAGCCAGTGTCATTAGTACAGTATAAATTATTATCACTGATCACTGTATTAGTGTCACTATCTAAGTCACTTTCAGTTAGTCACCATCGCAGCCAGTGTCTGTTAGCGCTAGATTGCCTGCTACACTATCAAAGTCCCACTTTAAGTCACTGATCACCGTCATTACCGTATAGCATCAGAATTATGTAAATTCCAGTATATATACACACACCATAGTTTGTAGATGCTATAACTTTCACACAAAACAAACATACACAGAGGAGAGGACTAGGACCAAAACTTCAGCTTGTAGCCCTGGAAGTCCACCTTCCATACCCAAGCCTCAGATGCTAGCTGTCCAGGTGTATACAAAGGTTAAAACATTGCCCCACTCTGCAATGTGGGAGTGCACCTGTATGCAGAGGAAGGCATGTCTAAAGGATCTGGCAGACTCTAAATGTAGGTGGATAGAGAACCAAGCCTCTCGAGGAGTGGAGAAATGGAAGGGACAATTCTTACAGATAAGGAGGGAAAGTCTTCTCAGTTTTTTCTTTAGGCTTCCCCCCCATTTAGGAAGATGGGTGCTCTTGCCACCAGTGGTATCCTTGATGATATCAAGAGTTGGTTCAAAGGCTGTCCCTCAAAGAACATGCAAATTAAATGTTTTTTCACACAAGGGTTCCGAAGACCATCACTTTAGCTAAAGTGCCCTACACATATGCACGAACATGAGACATGTAACAAATGAGATGGGATGCTTCTAGCAAACCATCTTATCTGAAATGTAATGCTAAAGTCATCTGCTTCATGGTTTTGACCAGTCAGACATGGTTTGACAAAGTAAGGTCACAGCCAAAATTGGATGAAAGGAAGGACCTGCCAGCGAGAACAAAAAACTTTAGACGGGTTTCCAAATGCTTGGGCCCTTAAATACAGGTACTTCCTCTACTTCAATGGTAAGCACTCTGTTAGGTGGGGCACTGCCACATCCACAAGTTGCTTACAGAATGCTTTAATGGCCATAAAGCAGCAATATGGGGCAAACAGACATAGAGGGAAAATAATGTGTGTGTGATCTCTTTGCAATAAAGCTCTCTCTGGACCATATTTGGAGATCCATGGTGTGCTGGCGAATATGTACGTTTGAAAAAAAATCACTCTCGTCTGAACAGTGTCCAGGGTCAGGTATAGATATTGTAGCTCAAACTTTTCCAGAATGTGCACAGTGTAGGCCTTGTTCTCCAGAGTTCCAACTTTGTGAGTTGGCTAAATAACCTATATAAGAAAACCTTGGGTCCACAGGAGGTAAAGCCAAGACCATGGTGAACACTCTGGGGGCTGTAGACAGGCCAAACGGTAGAGCCACAAGTTGAAAATAGCAATTCACCGTAAAACTCAGAGAACGCTGGTTATGGGGAAAGATCAAAACATGCAGATGAACAACTCCATTTGGCTTCTGAACCGTGAATAGGTTCAAGTAGAAACAAGGAAATCTTTTGTCCTCTGAAATGGGAATGTTCACTCCCTGGGATAGATGATGATCATGCAAAAGAGCAAACCTTATTTGAAAGAAATATTTGAAAGAATGAAGGGAGGAGGGGGAAAACTTTAAATTTCCAGTCTGTTTTTGCGAGACACGATACAGGCGTACCTCGGTTTACAAAACGCCTTGGTTAATGTAATTTTCGGTTTATGAATGAAAATCCATTGAAAATAATGCCTCGGTTTACAAATGTTTTACGAATTTTTTTCGCTATACGAATTGTATGTTGGTGCTGATTTTTAAATGTATTTGTCGCTTTTTTTCCCCTTCCCTTCGGGTCTGGTATGGATTTTGAGGGGAACTCCCACGCCAAAATTAAAAAAAAAAAAATGCCCTTATCCGAGTATGCAGCCCGGCAGGTCAGGAAAAGAAGGGGGGGGGGGGGGGGTACGAGTGAGCATTCCCCCCCCCTCCTGAACTATACCAGGCCACATGCCCTCAACATGGGGGGTGCTTTGGGGCAGGGGGGCTATACGAAAAGTCCCCCAGAACTAATTAAATTCATAAACCGAGGTATGCCTGTATTATGGACTAAACACATCCCTCTTTTCTCCTTTCCCTCTTATCAACATGCCAATTAACGTTTTGAATAAAACCTTTCCATTTTATTGCATACCTTAGTTTAGTCCCAGTTATGTCATCACTGGGTCTCTGTGCCTCTCTATGCAATGCAGGCAGATTATAGTTAATGGGGGGGGGGGGGCAGCACAGTGCTGTATTTAGTTTCCTGAAGACATCACAACAGCCTGTCTCAGTACTCTGCTCAAGAGGTCTCAGTCTCGATACAAGCAGTGGGCTGGGGTTGTGCAAATATCAAAATGCCTTTATGGGTTTGCGTCAGCCTGAATTAGTTGGTATTGCTAGGAAGACTGCATTACATACAGATTGCCCAAGGTAACAACCACATGTGATGGGGTATGCCAGGGACAGTTGGAACGGGGGGGGGGGGAGAAGAGGTAGATGATGCTTGACATCTTCCAGGCAGGAAATAAGGCAGGCCCTATCTGACTTACTGCAGGTTCCAATGCAACCTGTGAGAAGCTAGAGTGTGCAGTCAAATCAGAGTAAGCAACTTCAGTACAGGAGACAAGCCTGTGCAAGACTAAAGGTCAAGGTGCAGCTTAGCTTTAAGTAAAAAAATGCAAATAGTAACTATGTAACTATGTCATATGCAGGTACAAAGAATACTATGAAAAAGCACAAACCTTTTCCATTTCTTGACGGAATGTTGTGAAAAGCTCATTGCTTTTTGCCATTGTGGTTTGAAATTCCTCGAATTTATCCATATACAGAGAAAGCTGAAAAAAAAACAAAAAACAAGAGATTGTTAAAAAAAAAACAAACAAAAAAAAAAAAAAAAAAAAACAACAACATAGTCTGAGAAAACAGTTCAATTAAAAGTACATTAAGGGCGTGATGTGCAGAGACCTGTGCTTTCTGAAAAAAAAAAAAAAAAAAAAAAAAAAAACACACTCCACAAGGGCAGACATAAAACAACTGTTTTCTATTTCCCCTGTTCACACTTCAATGCAGCCTTCAGGTGTGCTGCAGCAATCTGCAATATGTAAGGATAAATGCCAAGCGAGCGCTGCAGGGCCATTTTTCGCAATAAATAGGAGTGATTAGATGTTGGCCACTGTAAGCATACCCCCTATGACTAAGTGCCATTGCACGAAACACGGAAGGGAGGAGCTACAGCGCCGTGACGTCACGCCGCCGCTGGCGGCCATTGTTTGAATATATGGTCAGTTTGCTTTGTTTCTTTTGTCACTGTACCCCTTTTGGGAATAAATATTCCTCTGGTAAACAGTATCACACTATTGTGGCATCCTTTCTTGGGCTCTCTGTGAGTCTCACAATTCACAGAGCCCATCCCTGAGGAGACCCGATGTTACTGACACTATTTGAAGGAGCATGAAGGAAGCTGGAATCTGACTATCTCCAGAGTGGATGCTATGGCTGACCTGATGATAAAGTTTATCTCAAATGCGTGATTAAAGTCGCGCTTCTGGTGAGTGCGCAATTTACTTCATATTGGTCACCCCATCTACCACTCCGGATTTTGATTGACCACCTCTTGGAGATCCCATGATCCTCACGTTCAATAATAATGGACATTCACTTATCACTTTAACCACTGTCTGTGGTTTGTATTTGTGCACCTTATTTGTGTTTACAGATGTCATTAGTTATGTCACTTTATTTATTATGATCAGCACTTTATATACAATATTTATTGTCTATATTCAGAATTTTGCACATTGACTTTTAGCGCTGCACCCATTTTTATATTATTAATCTGCAATATGTGTATTTTTCTGTCCAGCACCATAGCTTACCCACAGCTGTTTCTCCCTGTGTTTCTACACACTGCAGCTGAGCTGCGGTGCAAAGAATTGAATGCCACTCACAATAGTCACATGATCAGAATGCCCATCTCCACATTATAAATTCTATGAGGATTGGTCATTGGCACTGTAATGGTGCAAACTCATTACGTGGTGTTTTGTAGCAAAACGTCACATGACCTTATTAAACATCATTGATTCTACATACAGAAGTCTTCTTCAGGACCCTATAATGCTTCACTCACTGAATTACACATTATGCATTTTTGTTTCTATTTTGTATGGAGCTTGTTTCTAAATATAAACAGCTTTGCGTATGTCAAGCAGCGATCACCACAGATAATTGCTGGCTGTGTGGAGAGCCCCGAATAGCTGTGACCGCTAGCAACCTATCATCAGAGTGAATGGGGTCGCCGGCTGTACCTAGTTGCTCTCATATGCAACTGTAAACTGGTGTGAATGTAGCCTTACTGTAGCTTACCATTCCATAAATGTGGTGGCTGCAATTGTTTTCTTATTTTCAGGCCTTTCTCTTCCTTTATTTTGTTTTCATGAGCCCGCCGGTAACACACTTCATGTCCTAGGGTGTCGCACTCACTCACTGTTCAGTAACTATGGAGGAACAGCATTGATACCCCAGACTGCTCTACTTATCTGATCTATAAACTTGTCCTCATCTCCATTACATAAGGAAAAGTGGATTTTGTAAATCACATATGATAGCTGGGAAAGAACAGAACATCTTTTTGTGATTTCAGTTTAGTACATGGGAAGTTTTACCCTAAAAAAAGAAAGCCAAGGCAGCCACTAACATAAATACACTGGCAATCTGCAACATTTTATGTTATTTGGTTTAGTTTTACATTAAGGCCACTATGCATACACAGGTAGAAGTACTTAAAGCCCAACTCTGAGCTCAGTCCCCCCCCTTCCCTCCTAAATGTCCCTGCACAAAATGTTTTTTTTTTTTTTTTAATATACTTGCCTTTATCAGATGTCTTCAAGGCTAGGGTGGCCTTTTGCTGATGCAGAATATGTCGCTGTTATGTCAGTGCCATTCCTTCCTTAAATACACTAGGACTGAAGGTGGCTGCAGTGATGTTGGCTCCGGGGGTAAGGCCATGATGCCCATTCATTTAGAGTATATCCTAAATCTTCTGCATGTAATAACCCTGGACATAATTTAACCTGGATGACTGAGGACAATTTACCAAGAAAAGTACTACAGGGGGCTGCTTCAGAAGGCAACAGCAGCTGACCTTATTCTACACCAAGTGCCCACTAAGCTAGTGTTCATATTTAAAGAGTAACACCACAGCACGTAAGTTGTCCCCTAGACACTCATCTAGCTCTCCCCAAAATCAGATTATCGAATAGTAATATATTCCAAGACCCTTGTAAAATTCTTCAGGAATTTCATTCTTTCTATACTGACCTCTATTGCCAACCCCAAGAAGACAACCCCCTCTATTAGTTGCTCTCTGACTCTCCCATCTCTTCAGGAGGCTCATAGAGAACTTATGGACCAATCTATTACTTGTGAAGAAATCCAGAAGTCTATTCAAACTTTAGCCTTACACAAATCACCAGGCCCTGATGGTCTCCCTCATAACTATTATAAAACCTTCTCAGACCTTTTGGTTCCACATATGGATCTTTATTTTAACCACCTGCAGGATGGAGGTATAGTGCCACATGATGAGAATAGGGCATATATAAGGGTTATTCCTAAATCTAACAAAGATGCCACAGATGTTCTTAATTATCGCCCTATTTCTCTAATCAATTGCAATCTGAAGATCTTACTAAGGTTCTGGCTTTGCGCTTTAATACCTTTCTGGAAACCTACATTAACAATGACCAATCAGGGTTCATACGCGGACATCAAACACTGGATCAGATCAGTCGGTCTTTAGAGTTGATACCTGCAGTGAAATATAACTGGGATAATTCCCTACCCAGGGAAATATTGCTGTTATCATTGGATCAAAAGGCGTTTGACAGTTTGACCTTGGAATACCCATTTAACACGTTGAGCGCCTTTGGGTTTGGCTCCACCTTTATTTTTCTGCTAAAAACTTTAATTGTAATCTTTTGGCTCAGATTTCCATAAAGGGTATAAATTGTCTCCTCTTCTTAACAGACGTGGTACTAGAAAGGGTTGTCCACTCTCCCCCCTACTTTTCGCGCTGGCGGTTGAACCCCACACTATCGCTATCCGGTTCTCACTCTGGTACTACGGGTATTCAATGTGGCCAACAGGAACACAAGTGTGCCCTGTTCGCCGATGATGTCCTACATCAATTGTCTCAAGCTTCGGGACTCTCTTTAAACTCTTCTAAAATGACTGCTCTAAACGTTACTTTATCTCGTTCAGAGGTACAGACTCTTCAGGACAATTACGACTTTCAATGGGCTACCCGCTCCCTTCCCTACCTGGGGTTCATCTTACACACTCCATTACGACTCTTTATCATGCAAATTACCCCCCACTCTTTAAATGGCTCAAAGACCTTTGTTGCTGGGTGGACTTCCCTCTATCTTCCTTCAGTAGAATTAACTCCATCAAAATGATGCTCTTACCTAGACTACTTTACGGTTTTAGGAGATTAAATCGATTGCAGTCCCCGGAGAACTATTACGATTACAATCTGAAGTTCTTCGTTTTGTGTGGGGTAATAATCACTCCTGGATAAATAAACCAACACTATACTCTCAGAAAACACATAGCGGCTTAGGACTTCCCAGACTCCTGGCTTATTGTCAAGCGGCCCAGATCACACAGCTCTCTTACACTACAGCCAAAGGCCCTAAACCCCAATGGGTTATTATTGAAGGCCTGTCTTGTCATCCATATGCCATTGGCTCTTTGATGTGGTTTCCCAATCGACTACGTCCTCCCATTTAATGCCCTACATTATCTTACTCATTAGCGGTCTAGGACAGGCTGCGCATCCATAAATCTCTATCTTCTCCTCATACCTCTTTAGCCCCTATCTTCTGTAACCCTGAATTCATACTTGGGCTTACACCACTCTTATTTCAGTGGTGAGCCTTCTTCGTATCAGGGATTATTTAGATGGGAATCGACTGTACTCTCTGCAACACTTTCGGAAAACCACCAGCTCCCATCCACTGAGATCTTTCCATATAACCAAAATTGTGTCCTTTATACAATCCAAACTTAAATTGTTGAAAGGACCCAGCTACTGATACGCTGAAAGGTCAAATATTCACTATATATACTTCCCTTACTAATCCAAAAACCAAGCTCCGTTCATTGGGAACGGGATTTAAATATCTCCCTAGAACTGACTGGCAGGACACTGCTTACGCTCTGTCCAAGATTTCTTTCAATACCACACTAATAGAATCGAACTATAAAACACTTCTACGATGGTACTTGGTTCCCACACGCCTTGCAAAAATACACCCTAGCACATTGCCTTCCTGTTTTCACCGCTGTGGACAGGAAGGAACCATGTGCCACATCTGGTGGCAATGCCCTGTGGTGACTAGATTTTGGATCCGAATGTTTAACTTTATTTACTCAGTGACAGGAGTGAATATCTGTAGATCCCTAGAGATAGCCCTTTTTCAAAAGTTACCCTCAGGAATCCCCCTCCTCGAAAAAAAAAAAAAAAACGACAAAATTAATCCTTTACATGATCTTGGCTGCAAGAATCACTATTGCTAAGCATTGGAAACGATCGATGATACTATTTGACTATTTTAAAAATAAACTGATTGGATCATGGTTAAAGACAAACTCACCTGCATTCTCAATAACAATATGTCAAAATTCAACATAACTTGGGACCCGTGGAATCAATCCTCCTCCGTCCCTTAGAGGGACCAAGGCGGACCCCCTTTTACTTCATTTTTTCTCTTATTCTTTTTTTGCATTTTCTCTCTCATTCTTCCTTCATACTTTTTGTTTCCAACATTACCTTTTGATGTATCTGACTTTAGTACCTGACTGTTGTTTGGTCATGCTCATTATTAATCATTTTTCATAGTGAACTATGTACTGGAATTCTGTCCATTGTCACTGTTTATCCTCCTAATCTGTAGATTACACCAGAGGGACTTCCTAGTCCCATATATGTATGCAATGTTTGATTCCTCAATCTCTCGGTACAATGCCAATGTCCCCTATGTTCATACGTGAATATTATCCTTGAAGTTCAAGATCTCTGCTTTGATGGTACTGTCGGTCTGTACGTTTTACCCTTTCAATAGAAAGGCTGAAATATAAAGAGTAACACCAACCGAAGACAGGAGAATCTTCTTGATGGGATCACAGGCAGGTATAAAAATCTGTCAGCAGTTCTACAGTTCCACTTAAAAAGCCTTACTAAAGTGTCTTGATTTGAATTCTGTGGAGCTAGCTGCAGCAGTGTTAATCTTAACATTGTGGCTCACTATGTTTAGCTAAAAAAAATATAATATTAAACAGGGGAAGACCTCAAAATGGAAGGAAAGTAGTTTTAAAGCAATACTAAAGGCTAATTTTTTTATTTTGTAAAATAACAAACATGTTATACTTACCTACTGTGTACAGTGGTTTTGCACAGAGCAGCCTGGATCCTCCTTTTCTCAGGTCCCCTGCTGGCGCTTCTGGCTCCTCCTTTCTGTCAGGTGCCCCCAAAGCAAGCAGCTCGCTATGGGGGCACCCAAGCAAGCTATGTCCAAGCCACTGCTCCATGTGTTCATTCACACACAGAGCCCCAAGCTTGGCTCTGGCCCCTCTCCTCATTGACTGACTAGCTGTGATTGACAGCAGCGGGAGCCAACGGTTCCCACTTGCTGTCTCAGCCAATGAGGGGGCAGAGACCCGGGACAGTCAAGGCTGTTGTGTACATCGATGGATCGCGATGGGGCTCAAGTAAGTAATGAGGGGACTGGGGGCACTGCTACACACAGGTTTTTTACCTTCATGCATAGAATGCATGAAGGTAAAAAACCTTGAGCCTTCACAATCACTTTAAGGCCATGTAAACACTTAAATCCATATAGCAGTTTTTAGAACACCCTTTTTTTGTACTATGAATTTCTAAATTTCTGCTATTTTAAAATTGTTTTTAAAGTATTCATTATTAGGCAACTTGTAATCATTATTTCAAAATATCATCTAAAAAGGTAGATGCTGCCTTCATTTGATAGTAGATTCCAGCAGGGCAGACCTTATTATCTGAATTTATATTTTTTTACACTATAGAGGTAGAGCATTTTTTCCTACAATCTCACCAGGATAGAAAGGTTAAATGGTTAAAGACGTGCAATTCAGGGATGTGGTTTATATAAAACAAGGAAAACTGTGTCCTCAAACAAAGGGATTACAATTTCACATGTAGCTTAAAAAACAAACAAACAATCACAATCATCAACTAACCTGCTGCTTCAGCTGGGTTTCTTGTTGTTTAAGCTCTTCAAATTTTTGCCTGGTTTCTGTAGCCTCATTCAACAACTATAAAGGAATACAAGCCACTTTATTCAACCTGCTTCAAAGAACCACAATGCTATTCATTTCAAATCTTCTCAGGTATATTGAGTTACAACATGCATGCACTATTGTGGAAATAAAAGTGCAGCCCATCACAGTCTACACATCTGTGAAATGTATGGGCCAGTACAAACACAAAAGCACCAAACAATTCTGTTCTTACAGGAAAACCCTTACTCCGAGAAATAGGGGGTTTTCATTGCTGACCGCCTTCTAAGAACGCTAGTTTCCTGGCTGACCCTAAACAGCTAGATGTGACCATGCACGGTCCATCAGGAATTTATAGGGCATGCCAGAAAAATTCTGTCTTACTAATCTATGTTCACAGATGCAGAGGAAGCAAGATCTTTACCAATAATTGGGCATTGCACGATAAAAAGGCAAAGAAACGTGCTGGGACTTCTAACCAGAACTTTAAAGAAAATGTAAACCCAACATTTTATATTCCTAATATGTGCCTGCTGTCCCGTGTACTTGTATGAAAAAGTATTCTGTTCTCTCTGCAGTGTTTCCTTTGTGTGAAATCCCTGGTGTTCCTGCCAGCCCCCTTGTTTTCCTATTAAAAACTGACCACACTAAGCAAGAGAAAACATTGTGGTCGGTGCTCTAGCTATGCTGGGAACTCCGTGTGCTCTACTCCAAGGATCAGACTTGTCCTGACACCCCCCCTCCCCATCATCCCTCCTTTCACTGGGAGGATCAGTGTGCTGATGTTTGTCCTCCATCAGCTCTGTATGCAGCTTAGAACAGAGGATATGTGATCACCTATCAAAAAAAAAAAAGAGGAGGAAACAAAAAGGTATTTATAATGAGTTTTTTTTGTATATCTATACACAAATGTTTTGCCTTTCATTTCTATTTTAAAATGAATGGGTTGAGGGTTTACAATCATTTAATGGAAACTAGCAGCCGCAAGGATAGACACAGTGTCTTCATGAATAAAGTATTTCATGGAGCTAGATTTCACAGCATCCGACATTTATTTTATGAACAGGCTCACCAACTGTAATAAAGCCTACCCGCTGTGCCATGGCTGGTGCAAGAGGCAGCTCCTTCACTTCACACATTAAGAGGAAGAGTGCAAACTCTCTCTCCTGCCCAGGACAGTTCACATATAACTCGGTCTCATGATCATTACATAGATAAGTGTAAAGAAGTGAACATGATTGTATAGCTTTAACACAATATATGCAACAGAATTCTGTACTATACCTTTCATACTTCAGATCAATGAGCTATTGCATATTGTTCCTCCAGGCTTGTGCAGCTTTGGAAATCCCAACAGGCTCTAAAGCCCTGGAATTTTTTTGCTATATCCAGTATGATTTTAATATCGGAAGGCAATGGCCACATCTAGCACAACAATGAATTTCAGGTTATCTGGTCTGATCCAACACACTAGGCATTTAAAACCCTGTTAACCTTGCCTGTCATCCATTTACAAAATGTTATGTTTTCTCAGGTGGATAACTTTGCACAGTCATGAAGATACTGTATATAGCTATTAATTAGGTCATTTACAAACCTGGATAAATATAAATGTAGAGTTTTCTAAAGTGCGTTCCTCCAGCAACAATCTGTACTTACAAACTCTCTTTCCCGCTGGTGTCGTTCCTCAGATTCCTTCATAAGCTGAGCTGTCTGCTGTAGTTTGGCATCAATTAGTTGCTGCTGGAGCTCCTTATGCTTGAAGACTTTATCAATGTGCTAAAACAATAAGCAGTTTGGCAAGGTTACAATCAGATTCTATTAAAGGGGGAAAAATGTAAACAATAGCATAAATAGCAAAAATGTAACAAATGTCAACAATGTAATGCAAAGTATTATAAGGCCACTCCATCTTAAAATGTTTATACCAGCCAGGAGAACCCCAGCAGCCTCTTGCAGTTCTTTATGGGCATTAGTTTTGAGAGGACTGACAATATAACAAATCTCCTGTTTTAATACTGTTACCAAATTTTGGTGGTTGGAATGATAGAAAAATTCAGTAAACATATTTAAAACTAACCTTGATGTATTGGTAAAACTACCTGTTCACGAGACAGAATTATCCAGTTTAAATCTGAACGCTTGACAAGCAGTTAGAACAAAACTTAGACATTTTTTCACCCTCCACAGAATGTGTAATGTAATTCGTTTAGTCTAGTTTTGTGAGGCAGGCACCCTAGTAAAGGCAGCAGAGTCAGGTCCTCAGCCTCTACTGCAGCACAGCCTTCTGACCCAGAACACTGGATCATAAAATGGTATTTTTGAAATTACTGTAGACTCCATTTCTTGGAGTTCACTTAAGGGACAGGAATTCGGAGACAGGTTATATGTTCACCTATAGTAGCATTTGAGCACTGGCAAAAAAAAAAAAATAAAAAATTGTAACCAGTCTAGAACTCCTACTCCCAGCATGCTTTTTGAGGAGCAGCAGTACTAAAAGCATGATTATAAACATGAGGACTTGCAACCCTCAGGAATTCAGAGGCTGTTGGGACATCCAAAAAGCATTCTAACTGATGGGTGGGCAGTAGCAATAGTTCCATTAATAACATAGCTAACGGCTGTGTGCAGTTCTGAGCTACCCAACAAGCCTTACTCCTGAAGCTTTCATCAGGGAAAGTCCTAACATTTACCTGGTAAAACTGAAAAGCTGAGAAACCATACCCTGATGGCCTAAAAGCCCAAAAAGCATTCAAAAATCTTAATAGAGTGATCCTTGACAAGAAAGGCTGGAACCTGATCCTAGAGACAATAAGCCTTAATGATGATCTGTCTGAGGCACAGAGAAAGAGTACAAAGTAGAAGCAGATTCACAATTAGGGTGGATGATCAGAAATGACAATCAGAGTCACTTCTCCTAATAAAAGTAGTGGCTGTGGGAAAGACATACTGATGAACTGGAGCAGGACAATGGGCAGAACAACAATGTCCTGGCTGAGGTGAAAGGCTGAAAATGACCTTGGAGAGAAGCTCTAGGCCTTAACACTACCTCCCTGTGTAAGACTAGAAAGGGTCCTTGTCTACAAGGGTAAATTTAGAAATGTTTTGGTATTCAAGTGGTTAAAACAAGTTCACTGCTGATTCTGAAGCAGCCATGAACTTGGTGTTTTCTTCAGCCAATGATTGGCTGTCATATAAAAGGTAACCTGGGTGGCTGTAGAGCCTCTCAAATCTCTTCTGCAGTAACGAGAATGTGCTGCCTGCTGTAGTTCCCAGGCTCTTCCATCTCTCTGGGGAGACTGGTTTGGCTGTAAATCACTGAAGCATATTAAGCAAGAAGAGCTTGCCGAACATGAGTTCTCTGATCTCCTCTGCAATGAATGAGCCCAGTATCATTAATAAGAGTACTTCATTAAAAAACTAATTTCTACACACCGGGTATCTGACCTAGCTCACAAAGAGATTGCCAAGCAGTGAATAGAAAGACCATATACCGTCCACAAGTCCTGGCCAGGGGCATAGATGTAAACTGCAGAAGCAGTGTCCTGGAAGCCTGGGCTGACAGGCTGTGCTTAGTGATGTAGAAACCTGGTTGGAATCAATCTAGTCCTGGAACTAGACCCTTCTCAGAGCATGCACAGTACATGTTTCAAGGTGGCTACCTCTTCATCAGCTGCATGAATACTGGGCTACCCATAGAAGATTAAATACTGAGTGGTACTAGAAATTTAAAAGGAACTGCCGGGCATAAATGCTCTACCACAAGTGCGGCTATTACAACAATCAATGCATCATGATAAAAACAGCTGTTCACTCAGATTTAAAAAAAAAAAAAAAAAAAAAAAAAGACTCACTTAAACTGATATAATGGTAAAATTAAGAAAACACAACGCAAAGGAACGTCTGGGAACAGTTTCAGTCTGTGCAGATGACACCAAGCTGTGCAATGGAATAACATCTTTACAGAATGTCTTCAACTTACAAGCTGACCTCAATGCACTGTTTAATTGGGCAACTAAGTGGCAAATGAGGTTTAATGTTGATAAATGTAAGGTTCTGCACTTGGGGGCTAAGAATATGCATGCATCATACATACTAGGGGGAGTACAACTGGGGGAATCAATGGTGGAGAAGGATCTGGGGGTTCTGGTAGATCACAAGCTTAATAATGACATGCAATCACAAGCTGCGGTTTCTAAAGCGAGTAGAATCCTCTCTTGTATTAAAAGAGGTATAGACTCAAGAGAGAAATATCATGTTACTCCTGCACAAATTAGTAACACCTCATCTGGAATATGCAGTTTAGTTTTGGGCACCAATTCACAAAAAGAACATTGGGGAACTGGAGAAGGTGCAGAGAAGGGCATAAAAACAGGGGTCCTAAAACTTTTTAAACAGGGGGCCAGTTCATGGACCTTCAAACTGTTGGGGGGCTGGACTATAGTTTGAAAAAAATATGAACAAATTCCTATGAACATCGCACATATCTTATTTGTAGTGCAAAAAAACAGGAAAAAAAATACATTATTTAAAATGCACTGTACACTAACGCACTGCACACCAATGCACTGTACTCCAATGCACTGGACACCAAAATGCACTAGCACTAGACACCAAAATGCACTGTACTCTAATACACTGGACACCGCAATGCACTGTACCTGGTGTGCTCTCCTCTCGCTGCTCTGGCTGCAGCAGATGAAATCTGGGGCTTCCACTCGATGGGTCCTTATGGCCAAGGACACATGCGAGCAGCCTTGCTATTTGCCAGCCGGCGCCGTTTTTTTTTTTTTTTTTTTTATTATGGCGTGCCGGATAAATGTCTCCGGTCAGCAGTTTGAGGACCCCTGGATAAGAGGCATGGAGGAGATCAGCTGAAGCAAAATTAGAGGAACTGAATGGGACAGCACAGTCGCTAAGTGATTAACACTTCCGCCTGGCAGTACTAGGGTCATTGGTTCGAATCCCAACCATGGCACCACCTGCCTGGAGTTTGCATGTTCTCCCTGTGCCTGCATGGATTTCCTCCAGGTATTCCGGTTTTCTACCACACTCCAAAGACATGCTGGTAGGTTCATTGGCCCTGGTATGTGTATGCATGAATGTAAGTTAGGAACCTTAGATTGTACACTCCTTGAGGGTTAAGGACTGATGTGAATGTATAATATATAAGTAAAGTGCTGCGTAAATTGACAGCGCTATAAAAGTACCTGTAATATATAAAAAAATATCTCTTGAGAAGAGGAGATTAAGGGGATATATGATCAACATGTATAAATACATCAATGGTTCATATAGTGAACTTGGTAAAGAGTTATTCACCCTTAGGTCAACACAGAAGACAAGGGGGCACTCTACGTCTGGATCAATGGTGGGTATAGGATTATAACTTTTTTTTTTTGGTTAAGCTGGATGGACTTTTGTCTTTTTTTAGCCACACTATGTAACTATGCAATAAAACAATCGAGAGGATACACATAATGTTTTGTGTATGTAGTATGAGCGAATAGGAAAAGGGTGAGAAAATGGCAGAATACATAATAATGATGCTAATAATAATAATTAAAATGAATGACAAAATAATGGTCAAGGTCAAAATTCAAAAAGTTTCATGAATAAAAACAAATACATATTAAAAAAAAAAATAAATTCAGCAATAAATCTTAGAAAAAATAAGCAGTGCTTAAGAACGTACATCAAACCTTGTGCATTAAACCACTACATCTAAAGAAAACAAAAACAAAAAAAAAACAAAACAAAAAAAAAAAAAAAACCCACAAAAACACCCTCACATGCTAAAGCGCTAGGGATCCACAGCAAAGCATAGAAATCACTAATGTGCTGGGAAAATGGGAACTCACAGGGAGGCATTCTTGATCTTCACAGAAGCCAAAATGTCTTCCTAGTCGAGAGGGGCTATGACAGGCCTGTTGGATTCCATGCAGAATTTTCAGGCCTTTATATAGACATTCAGAGCCTTGATTTTCAAGATGCGATAGATGGCCCCCTTTGGTTTGGGAACCTGTGACATGTTGAATACAGGCAAAAAGAGGGGGCCGAACTTCCACTCGGAACACGAAGGCGATCCCAGAGGAAGTAGAAGAATGTACCTAGCAAAACTAGGTACTCGCTGCCCCCCACCCCAAAAAAAAATGTGCCACCTTGCCAGAAATTCTAACCTCCATAATGTCTCCATCTCACCTGCAATCAGGCACAGCATCGAGAAGGTGCTTTCTAAAAAATGAACAGAAAGAAAGAGTACAGAGCGCGCTGGTGTGGCATTCAACCCACCGAATGACGTTCTATCCCTCACTGTTAACTTTTTCCACAGTAAACTGATAAGGGGGTTTTAAATGGTGCCCAAGGAACAGGGGCGGACTGACCATTCGAGCACTCGGGCACTGCCCGAGGGCCCGGGGTCAGTAGGGGGTACCATGAGATGCCCTGGTACCTTTTTCATAGGCTTTTTTGGGTGTGGGCGAGGACACAGGGGCCCCATGATCCCCTACTGCCCCGGGGGCCCCATGATTTGTCAGTCCGCCCCTGCCAAGGAACCTAGTAATGGGGTAGCTTCTAGCGCTCAGCCCACACAGTCTCAGTGCGAGTCTTTAGACACAAGGTCACACCTGAGGCTGTGCCACAGGTCTGGATGTGTACTCTTCTGGTCTGGAGAGCACCACATTGCAGAGCCCAGTGCCCCAAGGTCGCATTACAGGCTAGCTTCACAATTGCCCCATCCAGCTGGGTCCAGGTACAGCCTCCAATGTTGATGCTCAAGAAACAACAATATGGATAGCTGTATAGAGAGACCAGCTCAAGCAGCAATGTAACAAAAATCTTAAATTGAAAAAATTTGATTAAAGAAGATAAAATAGCTGAAAAAAGAAAGAATAGACTTTTCCCAGCAGGGCACTGAAAAGGCATCCATCCTTAGTAGCATAAAAAAAAAAAAAAAAATGAAGAAAGGCATGCTAGAAGTAGAAGAGGTTATATTGAGCTGGCCACAATCTGTTTGCCAGTACGGTATCCCATCTGCAGGTAGAAATATAACCTGGCAGTCTCTAAATTCCTGTTTTCCCCGATGAAAAATGAAAGAACAGCCCTAGCTTGCTGACTGAACAAATAGGAGTTTGCAGCAAGTGCACAATGAAGCAGCCAACAGTTGCCTCTATGCTCACTTTGACCTCTGCTCCCATTCTTATATTCAAGATCAGAACATTGGGTGCATGCAGTAGGGCTCTGTTGGTTCCTAGTGTTGACCTCACCTCTCTCAGTTGAAGGGCTGCTGTTCAGCAGATTATACCAAGATAAATTAAAGAATGTACAGTAGTTGGTTTTCTAAATACATTTAGGCTGGGACCACACATTTGTGTTGTAATAACAATACACGAGTCACTATTTTGTGATGCCATTAATTTTGAGAGCACCTGCGCTGCAGCGTGTCAAAACACACAGCAAAAGACTACCTTACACTGTGTACCTGAAAAAGGGTCAGATACAGTTGGGCTGTGTTTGCGTGCATTACCATAAAATCAATTAACTGATTTATTTTCCATAAGCCTAGAATTAAGTGTTGAAAGCATTGCTCAAACACACCAATTCACTATGATTACTGTCTTAAAAAAGTATGAAAAGCACTAAAATGCACAAGCTTTCAGCCCTTAGGTATAGTTATTTCTTGTCCTACTGGGTAGTGCTGCTCACACCATGCAATGATACATCTCTTTCCAGCTAAATGCTGCCAATCCTACTGTGCAATGAAATGCTGCCGTAAGCAATGTATGCTCTGGTAACAGAAGTACTAGTAACACAACCATGCTATCAGGAACATGCAGAGAAGACAGCTCTCAAAACACTACTTTTCTGATATTTATACAAAATGGAACTCCTGAATTAAAGGCACAACTATAATTAAAAGCACAATCACTATTACTGACGCAGGGCGAAATGCATATACCTCACCTCTTCTCGCAGGGCATACTGCTCAATAAGTTTCTTTAACTTATCTCCAAGCTCTGCATTTTCCTGGCGGAGTTTAGCATTGTACACATCATGCTGCTCCATCTGTGCTTGGATTTCATTCAACGTCATCTGGAAATGTGCAGTGGCTTCTTTACGTTCTTCCTCATATTCACGTGCCTGATGCAGATTGTCTTCCTATATATTGGGAATAAAACAAAAAATGTTCTAGGTAATTTCTCAAGAAATTGTATGAACCTTGATGTCTCCCAGTAGCCTGCATTTAACTAGAGATCAAATTAGAGCAAACCCTCCCAACAGAACATTTTTGCTAAGGTACTTTCTAAGACAACACCACTGTCAAATGGATGGGCTGATGATACTTTCTTCTTACAAAAGGCAATGAAAGCAGTTCAGGTGGTAACAAAGATGGCAAATCCTTCAATTCAACAGTCAGTTTGAAAAAAAAGAAGTGGAAAGGCAAACAATTTGTACAAAATGGAAAAAGATAGCAATGTGTAAAGCTCCTGGATGAGGTTGTTTTTCCTCACCTTAGGTTTTCCAGCTCCATGGCTGACCTTATCAACTGCATGCTATGGAAATTTTCTTGCAGCCACCAACAATCTAGACCAACCTTTTTCAACATTTTAAAACGTAGGAACCCTTTAATTAATTTTCTAATTATAATCTTCCATCTAAAAGCTCTTTTTAATAAAAAATATTAATAATGGCCACACAAGAAATAGAGAAGAGAGTAGGACCCTTTTACTTTGCTGGTAAATCCACCATATTCAGAATAAAAACATATTACACATTTTCAAGTTTGAACTTATATTACACTATGAAGCTGGCTGACCTGTGTGTTGAAATCATGCATTCGGTTACGTAGTGTAACTTTTGGGTATTTTTCATGGTTTGTGCTTATGATGAAACATTCAAACTTAACAGCTTTTGACAAAACAGATATTTTTTTAAAAATAAAAGTCCAGAACCTAACAAAGTTGGTACAAAGGTTGCATTTTAGAGAATATTTGAATCCCATTATTTTTCTGATGAAGCTAGGACTGCAACATGATAAAATATTGCTCAAGATGTTGCCAACCTTTAATGTTTTGTTGTGTCTTTGAAGCTCTCTGCAGAGGGACTCCAGCTTGCTTCGTGCGAGAATAGCCTTGCTGTGCTCACTCTGTAGATGAACCTTTTCTTTTATCACCTGAGACTGCTTCTTCTGCAAAATCTTCATCTGTTTCTGGAAGTTCCGGCTCTCTTCCAGCTGAATCAAGCATTACAAGATTAAAAGCTTGCAGAGCCATCATTCATGACACAATATGCATTTTAACATAACATGTATAAAGCAACTAGTATATAATACTCACAAGATCAGCATATTTCTTGCAAAGGGCAGCCAGTTTTTCCTCTGGAGTTCTCAGAGTATTCAAAGCCTGCATTAAAAGCAGAACTTCTTTACCTGCAAGTCATACAAATAAGTTATATTGGGTAATCAAACACAGAAGCTCATAGTGCAAAATAAGGAAACATGCACACAGGTGTATGACTTTATGCTTCAAATATGCTGCCAGGAAGTTGGCCCAAAAAAAAAAAAAAAAAGCCTCTAATGTCACTTGTGTACATGCATTTACACACATATAGCGTTTAGAAGCGTATGACTGCAAACTCATTCTACTGGCTAGAATATTAAATCTAGTCTATCCGCTAACACGTTTATGACCCAACTAAGAATGATGCTCTGCTGGACCTAGTAATCTCAAACCATGCAGAACATATTATGAATATCCACATAAAAGAACATTTTGGTAGCAGTGAACATAACATGATTTAATTTGTTAGCTGTAAACATCAAGCACATACGGGAGAAATAAAATCACTCAACTTTAAGAGAGCTCATTTTCCAAGGCTGAAAGCTGCTCTCAAGACATACACTGGGAGAGAATATTAGCATCGATGAACACAACACAGATATGGGAGTTATTCAAAAAGACCGTATGTGAACACACTGCAAAGTATATTCCCATGGGCAACACGTTTAAAAGGCTAAAAATCAAACCTAGGCTTACAGCCAAAGTTAAAAAAAAAGCTATAAATAATAAGAGAGAAGAGCTTTTATTCAATATAAAAATGAAGGCCCTTTACAAAATAATCTAGAGTGGGTGACTGGGGACAAAGAGAAGGCAAATTTATTAAATACCTTCTTCAGCTCTCTGTATACAAAGGAGTATGGGGGAGTTCATAAAGGGCATGGTATTGACACAGCTCCAGATGATCCACATTGGCTCACAATTGATATGATCCAGAAATATTTAGAGACAATAAAGGTGAATAAAGCATATGGACCGGACGGCATACACCCATGAGTCCTTAAAGAGTGGAGCTCTGTTATTTCAAAGCTATTGTTTCTCATTTTTAGGGACTCTTTAATGATTGGCGTAAGGCCAATGTGGTGCCAAAATTTAAAAAGGGGTCAATATCTTTGCCTAATAATTATAGACCTGTTAGTTTAACATTTATAGTTGGGAAGATATAGGAGAGTTTAATAAAAAAAAAGACCACATAGAGGAGTTCTTGCTGCAAAAAAAAATATTGTAACCACCTCCCGCCAGCCATATAAGGAAATGATGGGCGCAAAATAGTTCTCTCGTTCTGGGAGGACGTCATAAGCCAAAACTGCATTCTCTATATCCAGTCTTCCACAGTACACAGAACATGGAAATGTAATTATTTTAGTAAATATAAACTGCTAAATACCCTTTCTCATCAGCAGTACACAGCAGTCCTGTGACTTCTATCAGTGTCCAGCAGAGCACTAGTTAATCTTGTAGGTGGAGTTTTCATTCTCCTCTGACTGTTCTATGAGGCTGCATAACTCCTGTCCCTCTGTCTGTACAGAGCTGATTGGTCCTGTGCAAATCACATGCCCCCCCCCCAAAAAAAAACCCCAAAAACCTCTCTAGCAATACACACCAAACAGAGCATGTGTAGACGTGCCACTGCTGCTCTACCTATGGCAGATAGATTAGGGACAGCAAAAGAAGGGGAGGGTCAGAGAAGACAGAATCAAACAGCCTTTTTTTAAAAAAAGCAGATTAACGCCTTCGGTTCCACAGTGAGTATACCAAGCATGCTTTACTGTACATACAGACTGATTTTACTGTTGTGGGTTTAGTAACACTTTAAAGTGTCATTAAACCCAAATCATTATAAACAATCAGTATAAACTGTCAATACATGTTGTATTGCATTGTGTTCATTCTCACTTTCCTACAAGAGCATTTGTTTTCCATAGAGTGTTCAACCGGTTTGATCCTGCTGTTCACTGTCCCTCCCTCCTTGTCCCCCACAGCAGCCTGAGATTGTGTAGACCAGCTGTTGTCACATCTACTGAGCATGCGCTAGTTTCAGTTCCCTTCTAAGATGTTAATTTTCTTCCTTTTACTTATCTGTGCAGCCCACATGACTATAGAATCACACATGTGGGTGTATACACAGTTAAAATGACAGTTCCCCTCCTTCTCTACTCTCTATGTCTTTGCATTTTTAAGCAATATGGGGTGAGATATAAGATGTTGATTGATGGAGGCTTCACCTTCCTGTTAGTCCCAGCACACACACATCATAGACCCAGACTGGAGAGGCATGACACTGCCTGTGATTGGCAGAACCTCCTCCAGATATCTTTACAGAACAGCAGCTGAAGCTGTGATGTGCCTGTCATCAACAGAGCAATGTGCTCAAAATGCCAACTGGCATCGGGCAAGGAATGCGTACCTCCCTACAGAGGGCAGGACTGTGCACACAGAGTTGGCCATTGTGCATCTAAATGTGTTGCAGGACTGGGGATAAAAAGTACTATACTTCAAAATGAATGCTTTGTATTGCTCATATATCTGTTGTACATACAGTGGATATAAAAAGTTTACACAACCCTGTTAAAATGTCAAGTTTCTGTAATGTACAACAATTAGACAAGGATCAATCAATTCAGAATTTTTTCCGCCTTTAATGTGACACACACACACACACACACACACACATACACACTACATATACATATACATCACACATACATATAGGGGAGGGTAAACATAAAAAAACTAAAATAATGTGGTTGCATAAGTGTGCACACCCTCTTATATATATATACACACATACATACATATACATATACACTCACACATACATACATACATACATATATATATATATAGGGGAGGGTAAACATAAAAAACTAAAATAATGTGGTTGCATAAGTGTGCACACCCTCTTATAACTGGGGAAGTAGCTGTGTTCAGAATTAAGCAATCACATTCAAAATCATGTTAAATATGAGTCAGTACACACCTGCCATCATTTAAAGTGCCTCTCATTAACCCCAAATAAAGTTCAGCTGTTCTGGTAGGTCTTTCCTGACATTTTCTTAGTCACATCCTACAGCAAAAGCCATGGTCCGCAGAAAGCTTCCAAAGCTTCAGAGGGATTTCATTGTTAAAAGGTATCAGTCAGAAGGGTACTAAAAAATTTCCAAGGCATTAGATATACCATGGTACACGGTGAAGACAGTCATCATCAAGTGGAGAAAATATGGTGCAACAATGACATTACCAAGAACTGGACGTCCCTCCAAAATTGATGAAAAGACGAGAAGAAAACTGGTCTGGGAGGCTGCCAAGAGGCCTACAGCAACATTAAAGGAGCTGCAGGAATGTCTGGCAAGTACTGGCTGTGTGGTATATGTGACAACGATCTCCCGTATTCTTCATATGTCTGGGCTATGGGGTAGAGTGGCAAGACAGAAACCTTTTCTTACAAAGAAAAACATCCAAGTCTGGCTAAATTTTCCAAAAACACATTTGAAGTCTCCCAAAAGCATGTGGGAAAATGTGTTATGGTCTGATGAAACCAAGGTTGAACTTTTTGGCCATAATTCCAAAAGGTACGTTTGGCGCAAAAACAACACTGCACATCACCAAAAGAACACCATACACACAGTGAAGCATGATGGTGGCATCATCATGCTTTGGGGCTGTTTTTCTTCAGCTGGAACTGGGGCCTTAGTCAAGGTAGAGGGAATTATGAACATTCCAAATACCAGTCAATATTGGCACAAAACCTTCAGGCTTCTGCTAGAAAGCTGAACATGAAGAGGAACTTCATCTTTCAGCATGACAATGACCCAAAGCATACATCCAAATCAACAAAAGAATGGCTTCACCAGAAGAAGATTAAAGTTTTGGAATGGCCCAGCCAAAGCCCAGACCTGAATCTGATCGAAAATCTGTGCGGTGATCTGAAGAGGGCTGTGCACAGGAGATGCCCTCACAATCTGACAGAGTATTGGAGTGTTTTTGCAAGGAAGAGTGGGAAAATATTGCCAAGTCAAGATGTGCCATGCTGATAGACTCATACCCAAAAAGAGTGAGTGCTGGAATAAAATCAAAAGGTGCTTCAAAGTATTAGTTTAAGGGTGTGAACACTTATGCAACCATATTATTTGAGTTTTTTTATTTTTACTTCCCTTCACCTAAAAGATTTCAGTTTGTTGTTCAACAGTTGTACAGTTTATAGGTTACATTAAAAGGTGGAAAAAGTTTTGAAATGATTTATCTTTGTCTCATTTTGTTACATCACAGAAACCTGACATTTTAACAGGGGAGAGTAGACTTTTTATATCCACTGTAAGTTACTTTTAGAAGTATGATCACTATTGAATACATACAAAGTGTATGCACGGACAATTTTTTATAATTTTGGATTGAGTGGGGGAAGGCTAGAACCTCTGCCAAATTTGTATGGCTCTGTGTCACCACTGGGGAAATTCAATTCTCTATTACTCCTGGTAAGCATTGTCACTGAGACAGTAGGTGATGGGAAAACCAAAATGTTAGAGTTGTCACATGACTTTCAATGAGTGCATTTGTCTGGTGACAGCTGTGTTAGAAGGAAATTTTTATTACTTTGTAGAGAATTCCTCTCACTTCCTGTTGCATCTTTGGGACTGGAAGTGAATGGAAATCTGCAAAACAGGAAACCGAGAACAAAAAAAAAAACTGCAGTGTCAAACCGTTTCCTATTCTATCCAAACGAAAGAAACAAAAAAACTACACTTCGGCATTTCAAAAAGAATATAGCAAAAACCCACAAAGTTACACTAAAAGAATTTTAAGTAGACTGCTTTACACTTGCAGTAGTCCCTACCAAGTGTCTTTTCTTTGTCGTTTTCACTTCCTGGGTCTTGTTGCCCATCCGGTGGACCTAGTCTGGTGTCTTCTCTTCTAGGAGTTTCCTCTTGAGGCTTGTTTACCAGGTGGTTTGACACCATGATAGCCTCAATATTTGTGCTTTGTACTTCCTCCAGACCATCGGAGTTTGATAATTCTTTTCCATTTACCATAGAGAGAGGCAAACCGGTATTTGCCAACAGATCATGGTTATCCTCATTGGCTCGATTTAATTCGCTTTCACCCATCGCAATCTGTTAATAGAAATAAATTGAAAATAGACACGTCAACATTAGAAGACATGAGCCAATGAAGCTCTGTATCAGAAAAGGGAAAAAAAGATATACAAACATTTTAAATCTTTTAATTACTCACCAACCAAGGATGATATTAGTGTTAGATGTTTTTTCCATAAATTTCATTTACATAAATAGGACAAGTAACAAGTATAGCTTGACAGGTTATGATGACCAAAACGCCCTTCAGTGCAACTTAGTAAAGTATGTCTCACTTCTGCGACAAATTCAACATTTAGGGGTTAATTCCTCATTTAAGGTAATGGATGGGGTCATACAAATAATCCCTTTATGTCGTTGGATCAACTGTACATCCAGAAACACTAGTTTACAACATGCATATAGCTGATTATTATGTAGCCATTTACTGTATACAAACTGTTTTCAACTTGACAGTTAATCTTCTATAAAATATATTGTTAATTATGACATAGGGGAAGTTTCACTGCTTCAGACTCATTCATTTGATTAACGTAAACCTGATATGAGATAAAGAAAGACTTTTCTAACTCCTCTAAAAAACACTTTTCTAGAATGTTAAACTAACAACCTTATCTTCAAGAATGTGACCCTAAAAAAAGTTTGCAGTTCAGTGATATCAGAGATCCTTATATGCGTTTTTTGTGCCAAGCTACCAAGGAATTGAAGCATGTCAGCCATGCTACTAGCACTTTTATAAAGGAGAGTTCAGCAGTCATAGTCTCCATGTTTCTCTCACAACAGCTAAGCAACTATGCTATTAGAAAGGTGAGTTCAGCAATGGCAGCCTCACCCTTTTTCCCATGGCAGATTTGTTTTAAAAGAAAATTTTATGGAAATCGCTATACTGTGTCAAAACCTATGTAATTAAGTTTTACATATAAACCTAAAGTTTTATAAATTTTAGAAAAAAAGCAAGAAACAAAAAGCCTCTGTTAGACTATATGTATCAATAACAAGAAGCCCTTTACACATGATGACGTTCTACTGAGTACTGAATGCTCCCCCCTCAATTGACTGGTAAATTGTTAGCTTCAGTGGTAAGGCTACCTAGACCTCTAATTGATTGCAGGACAACTTTGATAGGTATAACTAGGTATCCAGCTTACAGCAAAAGCTATTTAAAAGACCACTACCACCACACAAAATACCATACAGGACAGAAAGGGACAATGTAGTTTTTATGTGTACTATATGGAATATTATGTGTAAATACCTGTACTTCACAATTAGAATTCTTTTATTTTTTTTTTTTTTATAACCTGCAATTGTATGTGGTGATAGCACAGTCAATAAAGTAGCTATTCTCCAGGCCTGAACAAATTCTAGATATCAGAGTAATAAAATTAAAAAATTGGGAAGAACTCCAGAATAAGCAAAGAAAAAAAATCACCCATTAGTACACCCCCCTACGCAAAATACTAAATACATTTTGAAAATCCTTACCATTAAGAAAAGTCTTATTGAATTTTCATGACCTCATCTATGCAATTCAAAAGATAACAGCGCTATAATTTTCACGTAAACCAAACAATTTACACGTATTGTGATTTTTTTTTTGTAGCAAAGATGTAGAATACATTTTGACCTAAATTTATGACGAAATTAGATTTTTTTACTGGATGATTAATAGTAAAAAGTCAAAAATATTGTTTTTTTCCTCACGTGGCCAAAACAACTGTTTGGAACATTCTTAAAAAGAAGGAACGCACCGGTGAGCTCAGCAACACCAAAAGACCCGGAAGACCACGGAAAACAACTGTGGTGGATGACCGAAGAATTCTTTCCCTGGTGAAGAAAACACCCTTCACAACAGTTGGCCAGGTCAAGAACACTCTCCAGGAAGTAGGTGTATGTGTGCCAAAGTCAACAATCAAGAGAAGACTTCACCAGAGTGAATACAGAGGGTTCACCACAAGATGTAAACCATTGGTGAGCCTCAAAAACAGGAAGGCCACATTAGAGTTTGCCAAACGACATCTAAAAAAGCCTTCACAGTTCTGGAACAACATCCTACGGACAGATGAGACCAAGATCAACTTGTACCAGAGTGATGGGAAGAGAAGAGTATGGAGAAGGAAAGGAACTGCTCATGATCCTAAGCAAACCACCTCATCAGTGAAGCATGGTGGTGGTAGTGTCATGGCGTGGGCATGTATGGCTGCCAACAGAACTGGTTCTCTTGTATTTATTGATGATGTGACTGCTGACAAAAGCAGCAGGATGAATTCTGAAGTGTTTCGGGCATTATTATCTGCTCATATTCAGCCAAATGCTTCAGAACTCATTGGACGCCGCTTCACAGTGCAGATGGACAATGACCCAAAGCATACTGCAAAAGCAACCAAAGAGTTTTTTAAAGGGAAAGAAGTGGAATGTTATGCAATGGCCAAGTCAATCACCTGACCTGAATCCGATTGAGCATGCATTTCACTTGCTGAAGACAAAACTGAAGGGAAAATGCCCCAAGAACAAGCAGGAACTGAAGACAGTTGCAGTAGAGGCCTGGCAGAGCATCACCAGGGATGAAACCCAGCATCTGGTGATGTCTATGCGTTCCAGACTTCAGGCTGTAATTGACTGCAAAGGATTTGCAACCAAGTATTAAAAAGTGAAAGTTTGATTTATGATTATTATTCTGTCCCATTACTTTTGGTCCCTTAGCAAGTGGGAGGCACATATGCAAACTGTTGTAATTCCTACACCATTCACCTGATTTGGATGTAAATACCCTCAAATTAAAGCTGACAGTCTGCAGTTTAAAGCACATCTTGTTTGTTCATTTCAAATCCATTGTGGTGGTGTATAGAGCCAAAAATGTTAGAATTGTGTCGATGTCCCAATATTTATGAACCTGACTGTAATTTTAAAAAAAAGTATATATTTTTTTGATGGTTTAAATATTTTTGATAATTTGTGATTAACGAGCACTACCATTTTTTGATTAAATTACTATGCTCTTTAAAGCTGTTGAGTTTCTGGCGGATTCTCCAGCGGAAGCAGTAAGAATGGCAGCTATATCGTCAGCTCTGGTGAATTCCGCTAGATCACTTTGGCTAAAAAAAGTGGTCTGGTGATTCTGCTTCTATGCTCGAATGTGTGCGTTGCCCTTTACGGGAGATAACCTGTTTGGTCCCGGATAGCAGGAGGCGTTAAGAGAGATAAGAAAAAGGCCTTCCCAGAAAAGAAAAAGAAGAAGAAGGACGCCGGGTTTTATGTGGCTTTTTCGAGGCCAAGGACAGCAGGGCGACCAAGGTAAAGAGGCTAGGCCAAGGAATTGTTGGTCAGGCAACAAAGGTAAGGGTAAAGGAGGAATCTTATTTAATCCTCCTCAACCCTCCTCCAAGACCCAATGACTCCTTCCTTCCAGCTTGGGAGTCCGTCACCTCCAGTGTCCGTTTATCCTTCTGATAAGTCAGGGGTACAGGCTAGAGTTTAATACCTTGCCCCAACCAAAGGATCACGAATCGTGCTCAGGATGGGAAAAAAGCAAGCGCATTGTGCTGGCAAATAGGAGAGATGATAGATCAGAGGGTTTTAGTCCCAGTTCCAATAGAAGAGAGGGGTCAGGGTTTCTATTCTCATATTTTGTGGTGAAAAAAGTACAAACATTTTCGTACGGAATCAATATTCTCTCTCAGGTACATCCTGCATCAGGGATGTTTTATGATGACCCTATATCTGAGGGATACATACCTTCATGTACCCATTCATCCCTCTTATAAAAAGTACTTGAGAATGACCATCAGGTTGGGGGAGAAGGTTCAGCACTAGTAGTACAGAGCACTCCCTTTCAGACTGTCTTCAGCCCCAAGGATTTTTGCCAAAGTCCTGGGAGAAGCTCTGGCTCCATTGAGATTAAAGGGCATTCTGATAGTACCGTATTTAAACGATCTCCCGTTAGCTGCTCCCTCCGAACAGCAGTTGCGGAAGGATCTAGAGTTTACCCAGAACCACCTTCAAGCACCATGTCAGTCGGTAAGATTCCTGGGGTACATCATGGATTCGACAGTTCGAAAAGTATTTCTCCCCGCAGACAAGCTAGACAAAGTGAGGTACTGAGTACAGCAGTTGCAATTCAGGTTTCTCTGAGGGAGATTTCTGCAGTATTAGGTCTCATGACTGCATGTCTTCCAGTGGTTCTTTTGGCCCATTTTCACCAAAGGCCTCTACAGCACTTTCTGCTCAAAGCTTTGGATGGGACCAGGGACACCTTAGACTTCAGAGTTCTCCTTCCAAGAAGCGTCAAGCAATCTCTATGGTGGTGGAGAACAGAGGCACATCTTTCCAGGGGGCTAGAGTGGATCTGGCTGGTTTCCAGAAGGATAACAACAGATGCCTCCTCATGGGGTTGGGGGGCACACATACAAGACAGGTTGACCCAGGGCCAGTGGTCAAAGGACGAGGCTAGGTATTCCTCAAACCAAAAGGAGCTCTTGGCTGTGGAAAAGGCATAAATAAAATTTCAGGAGCAATTGATGGGTCACCATTTACAAATCCTCTCAGACAACAGCACGACAGTGGCTTACATCAACAAACAGAAAGGAACCAGAAATCCGCGCTTACAGGCAATTGCAAAGATGATCTTGATGCAACCAGAAGTCAATTTAGCATCAATCTCAGCCTTACACTTGAAGGGTTCTCAGAATATATTAGCAGATTTTCTCAGTCATCAAGCGGTGCACTAGGAAGAATGGTCTCTTGCCTAAGAGGTTTTCTCTTGGCTCAGGGATATGTGGGGTCAACCAGAGAAAGACCTGTTTGCCTCTCAAGTGAACATGAAGGTTCCATTATTTTTCTCCATGAATCCAGGTGATGCAGCAGTGACCATAGATGCTCTGGCAAATCCCTGGCCCTACAGTCTAGCTTATGCTTTTCCCCATTCAAATTGGTCCCAGCAGTATTATGAACATTTCAGCTGGAGAAGTTGGATCTCATTCTGATAGTTCCCCATTGGCCGAAACGCCCTTGGTTCGCCC